AAGTAGATGGCCAGGCATGGTGATTCCCACCTGTAATCCCAGCACTTTGGGGGGCCGAGGCGGGTGGATCACTTGAGGTCAGGAGTTCAAGACCACCCTGACCAACATGGTGAAACCCCGTCTCTACCAATATTACAAAAATTAGCTGGGCATGGTGTTGTGCATCTGTGGTCCCAGCTGCTTAGGAGACTGAGGCAGGAGAACAGCTTGAACCCAGGAGGTGGAGGTTGTAGTGAGCCAAGATCGCGCCACTGCACTCCAGCCGGGCAACAGAGCAAGACTCTGTCTCAAAAAAAAAAAAAAAAATTAGCTAGGTGTGGTGGCATGAGCCTCACTCCCAGCTACCTGGGAGGCTGAGGCAAGAGAATTGCTTGAACCTGGGAGGTGGAGGTTGCAGTGAGCAGAGATCGCGCCACTGCACTCCAGCCTGGGCAACAGAACGAGACTCTGTCTCAAAAAAAAGAATAAAGTAGAAATACAGTGCCAGCTAAGTCCAACACAAGACTCCACATATAACTGGAAAAAATGCAAACTGGCCTTACTTCAGTGAAGTAGACCATGTCCTTCAGTGAAAATAAGACACCACCATTCTCCACTGTCTCCCCTCACCAGCGCTAAGTCAATTCGAAAGGCACTTAATTCTTAACCCAACTGGGATCCCCATATTTCTTAATCTGCTGTATAGAAAGGCCTAGAGTATTTCTCATGCCAGGTGCATGCTGGCTAAGAGTGCCCTGCCTCTACTTCTGGGTACCAGGTTGTCTTTCGTGAAACTTGTTCTCTGAAGCATTCAGATGGAAACAGTGTGGTATAACTCTGTGGGCCTTGAAAAAGGTGCTTAAAAGTTATGACAGCCTATCTATCATATGCCTAGAGGTGACTAAGGTCCCTCTGCAGCATCTTTTTTCTCTCTTGTGTAATCCCTGCCTCATTAGTCAGCTGCGGCTGTGCACAAGCATCTGTTACCTTGGGGGAAGGGGTAGGTCTTTTTATGATCTGCCAAAGCCGATCAATGATACTTTTAGCTCAAATATATTTATTTATTTATTTTTTGTTTGGTTGGTTGGTTTGAGACAGGATCTTGCTCTGTCACCCAGGCTGGAGTGCAGTGGTGTGATTATGGTTCACTGCGGCCTCACCCTCCCAGGCTCGAGCGATCCTCCCATCTCAGCCTCCCAAGCAGCTGACACTACAAGCGCACACTACCTTACCTGGCTAATTTTTAAAATTTTTTGTAGAGATGGGGGTCTCACTATGTTGCCCAGGCTGGTCTCAAACTCCTGTAGTCAAACAATCCTCCTGCCTTGGTCTCCCAAAGCACTGGGATTACAGGCATGAGCCACTGCAGCCCAGCTGAAAAATCTTTAGGTCTCAGCACAAAGCCCAGGTCACCAGCTCCAAATCTTCCTTCTGTCCTGGTGAGTCTCCCTTTGGGGGTGATATAGAAAAAATAGACTGTTTTTCTCTATAGTCATGCTTACTACAGAGCACTTCTGACGCCAGATGTGTGGGATTTTTTTCCCAACACCAATTCCTCACTTCTCAGAAGACACCCACCAGGTGTCCCACAGGTGAACTCAATTCCGACACTATGTATCTGAAGTTAGCATCTGATCTCACAAGCTAAGGGCACGATTTCATGAGACTGCCCCCTACCCTAGATGTCAACTGCAAGTGATGTCCCCCCAGTTTACCCACAATTTTGCCTGACTTGGCTCCAGATCGGAGGTTCCCAGCACCCTCTCCACAGGTTTGACCATTTGCTATTGCAGCTCGCAGAACTCAGGAGAACAGTTTCCTTACTAGATTACCAGTTTATTACCAAGGGCATATTAAAGAATACAAACAAACAGCCACATGAAGAGACACACAGGGCAAGGTCTGGAAGGGTCTTGAGCGTAGGAAGCTTCTGTCCCCATGAACGAGTTCTGCGACCATCTCAGTGTGTGGGTGCAGTCTGGCTCACCAACCCCAAAGCTCTCCAAACCACATACTTTGGGGATTTGTATGGAGGCTTCGTTAGGTAGGCATTATTAACTCAATCTCTAGCTCCTCTCCCCTCCCTGAAGGACAAAGGATGGGACTAAAAGTTTCCAGTGTCTACTCATGGGGTCCGAGAGGGCAGAGAACAAATATGTATTTCTCTCTCTCTCTCTCTCTCTCTCTCTCTGTTTTGCTGCTGCTGTTGTTGTTTGTTTAGACAGGGTCTTGCTTTGTCACCGGGCTGGAGTGCAGTGGCACAACCATGGCCCACTACAACCTCGACCTCCAGGGTTCAGTCGATCCTCCCACCTCAGTCTCCCAAGTAGCTGGGACTACAGGTGTGTACCGCCACATCCAGCTAACGTTTGTACTTTTTGTAGAGACAGTTTTTGCTATGTTGCCCAGTCCAGTCATGAACTCCTGGGTTCAAGCAATCCTCCCACCTCAGCCACCCAAAGTGCTGGGTTAGAGGCATGAGCCACTGCGCCCAGCCAAAAAATGTATTTCTTACACATCACAGGAATATTCTTTCCTCAGAGGGACTGGTTCATCCTGACCACAGCAGATCCGAAAGTATTGTCTGAGACCTGGCTTTGACATACTCAGGTGGTTCCATTTCCCTGGAACCTTGGCAGTGCTCTGGTGAACATGTGGCACAGGCAGGAAGCCCCTCGGCATGTAGCTGCCCTGGCTGGGCATGGAGAGTGTGAACAAACCTCAGAGCCAGGCCAGGAGTCCATCGCAGCAGGGACCTGAGTTGGCAAGGACGTTGCTGCAGAGTAAACAAGTTCTGTTGGATTGTGCAGTGCTAGCTTTTGACAGCCCTGATTGACCTGCTTGGGTCATTTGCCTTCCCTGAACTAATGACAATAGTCAGAATGATGGTGTACTCAGATTGGCCAATCTGGGTCAGCATATTTCCCAGTGGAGCCAGAAGACGGATGGGGTACTGTGATTGACAACCTCACCAGGGCCTGAGGGGGTGAGGAGGGATATATTCCTAAAGAAAAGAGGGAGTAAGTCATCAGAATAAAAGGGGAACTGCCGGCCGGAGGTGGTGGCTTATGTCTGTAATCCCAGCACTTTGGGAGGCTGAGGCGGGCGGATTACCTGAGGTCAGGAGTTCGCGACCAGCCTGACCAACATGGAGGAACCTTGCCTCTACTAAAAATACAAAATTAGGCGGGCGTGGTGGCACATGCCTGTAATCCCAGCTACTCGGGAGTCTGAGGCTGGAGAATCACTTGAACCCGGGAGGCAGAAGTTGCAGTGAGCCGAGATCACACCATTGCACTCCAGCCTGAGCAACAAGAGCGAAACTCTGTCTCAAAAAAAATAAAAAATAAAAGGGAAAATACCATTTCTCGGTGAACTATTCTTTCAATGCTTTCTCCTTGCCTGTGCAAGTCCAGTGTTTCTGCAAGATTCCCATTTCTTGCAGCAAGTGGAAGACTGACAAAGGGACGCTATATTTCTTCCTGCTCCAAGTAAAAGATTAACATTATTTTACTACAACCCACTTGGAACATTTCTCTGTTGAACTGTTAGTTGGAATACAACCTAGCTTTTCTTTACAAATATGGTTGAGTTAGAAAATAATATGATGGACTAAAATAGAAAGGAAACCGAATTCCTTTATGCTTCTCAAAATCAGGTGATTAATGAAAAGACATCTGAGGAGAGTATGAGAAGAAAATGGCATCATTCCCACAGCACAGAAAGGGGTCTTCTTCCAGGGGGCCAGGTGCAGTCACTGTTTTATTAATTTTTATAAAATCCCAGAGTAGGGAGGGAAGAGATAAATATAGAAGTACGATTCTTCCTCTCCCTCTCATTCTCCCTCTCCCTCTCCCCCTTTTTCTCCCTCCCCCCTCCTCCCTCCTCGCCTCTTCTTCTCCCTCTCCCTCTCCCCCTCCTCCTCTCCCCCTCTCTCTCAATCCATTTCAGAAATTCAGGAACTGAGGCCAAGGTGGCACCGAGGCGTGTTCTCGGTTGCTATGGATATGTTCAGCATCTGACATTCTTTCTGAGTGGGGCCTGGGAGAGAAGAGACGTCTCTGATGCCTGAGTCATTAAGGGAATGCAGGTCCTTCAGTCTTCCTCAGAGTGCCGTCTGAGAATAGACATGGCTGCATACTCTTCATCCACTTCTGTTTGTCCAGTAGATTCAGGGAAACAGTGCTCGGCCACGTTGTAGGAAATTTGAGTTTGTTTTCATCCTCCCTATGCCCAGGGCCTTCTGCTGTCTTTAGTTTTTGCCAGCAAGGGAAGGAAGAACGTGATCTTAGCCCTTTCTGCATTAGGGTGAATAAGCTCCAGTCACAGCCTAAGAATGTTAACACTGTAAACTGAGCTCTAGATGTGAAAAAGAAAGACCTCACCCCTTTGGGTAGAATTTTAGGTAAAGAAAGAGGGAGGGGAAATATTCTGGGAGCAGAGACAGCCCTTCCCAAGCCTCCCACAATCACACCATGCCTATTCCTAAAAAGCACTGTTAAGAGAATCTTGTCATTTTAGGGCATGTGAACTCCAGAGAAAACAGTAATTTCTATTTTTTTCTCCCTACATGTTTTCTCTGTTTCCAGAGGAAAAACTAGCCAAAGACTAGCCCTGCTCTGCTGGAGAGAGGCTAGCACATTCCAAGAAGCAACAGGGGTGTAACATGGCCTGGATGGCACCCAGCGAGCAGAGGTGGAATCCTGCAGCCTGTGTCTCGGTTGGATCTCTCTCCTCTTCCCCCAGTCCTTGACACAGCACTGGCCTGTCTCACTTTACAACCCTTTCTCTCCCCTAGACTCCAGGATACAGAATTCACTTTCACCAAAAACTCTCACTACCTCCAGCCCCGGTAATGTGCACCTCTGACGCAGGTTTCAGTCGCCCCTCGCGGCCTCCCTTGCTGTCAGTATTCAATCCGTCGCTCATGGCCTCCCAACCTTGAGTTTCCACTGCCAAAAACTTTCGGTCAACAACTTTTGTGTTGTTGTTTGTTTTTTGTTTTGTTTTGTTTTGTTTTTTTTGCATGAGAGCTAATTCAGTAGAAAAAAAAATAGGAGAAACTGCTATATGCCCACCCCCCCATATCCATAATTATGCAGTTTTTGCTACATGTATTTGATCTATCCTCCCTTTTTTGTTTATTGTTTATTTGCTGAGCTCCTTTCAAGCAAATTCCAGACATCATATTATTTCACCTCTGAATCTCTCAAAATATTTTTTTTTGAAAACAAAATAAATAAATACCATTATCACACCTAACAAAAGTAACCACAGAGCTTTGGTATTATGGCTACCCAGTCTGTAATTAAGGTTCCCTGATTGTCTCTAAAGTGTCTTCTTATAATTGGTTTGTTTGACTCAGGACCCAAACAAGGTCCCCACATTGCATTTTGGCTATCATTAAGCATCCCTGATTTGTTTCATTTTGAGCTCTATTTTAATGTTTTAAAAGCAATCTGAATAGCACATAGAGGCAGTGTTTGATTAGAATGCTTGGGGGCTGGAGGGTTGTCGTTATTGTTGTTTGTTTTTCGATGAGATGAGACCTGGTAGGCTGGGTGTGGTAGGGGTGAAGAGGGGCATTGAGATACTGGCATCTGAGGAGACAAGTGCCACTGCATCTGTCTTCAGACCAGAGACAAAAATAACAACTCGAGCTAGCACGTAGTCAGTGCTGAATATGCACCAGGCATTGTTCTAAGTGCTTCGTGTGTAATTATCTCATTTTAAAAAGATAACTTCATTGGGAGATTTTCAGGGGCTGGTGAAAGTGCTGCCTTTTTTGGTTGAGGGGAGGTTATCTAAATGGGTCAGAGTTTGTGAGTGTGTCAGGCCAGGGAGCATTAGCTGATGCAAACTACTCTACAGGATGGCTGAAGTGTCTCCTCAACTCCCAAACAGAAGTCACGTCGAGGAAATGTTTTCGCTGTCACCAGGTCTCAGGAGGTGAGCGGAGTCCTGGTGACCTTTGAATCCTTTGCCCTGGACAGATCTATGTCTTCTCTTTCTCGCCTCCACTCTCATCCTGTGTCTTAAGTCGTATGTTCAGAGTCCCAAAATGTCCCATCTCTGGCGGCAGCCTCTGTGATTCATCACCGGTGGTGGCGGCTGAAGGCTGCCGGGAATTACGTAGCCTGGCAAGGTTTTCTTCATGCTCCTGTGAATCAGTGGGGTTATTATTCATCAACTATAATCATTTTGGTTTCTTACCCATGAAGTGGGATCACAGGGGATATTGGAAAGCTTGGAGGGATACGTGTTGTTAAATATTGCATTCTTAAGATACTCTGAGGTCGGACCTCAAAAAAATAAGGAGTAGACAGTGAAGCCAAAACTGCAGCTGAAGGAATCTAGGTAGAGGCACCACGGGAGATGGACCTAAGCACAGGGAAACCTCTGAGCTCCAGGTGAGTCAGAGTGAGGGGCTCACAGGGGAACTTAGCTACTGGGACACTGTCAAGATAAAGTCGGGGCAGACCAAGATTGGCTCTGGGAAAGGCTGGGCTGGACACTAGAATTTAGTCCATGAAACCAAAGTAGAGTTGATACAGTCCAAGGTTCGGTACCTGCTCAAATCAGAATCCCAGGTAGAGATATATATATGTATGTATAAAACCTCAGGGTATATCTGTAAACAAGCTGGCAAAATATGTCAGGAAGATAAGGCATAAAATTGGGATGGCACCAGTCAGCATAGACCCATTAAAATTCTTTTCCGTCTGGCCCCTGTTGAAGACCAGAGGACCTGACACTGTTAGCAGGCCTATGTCTACTTTATATATCTATCTATTTATTTATTTATTTATTTATTTATTTATTTAGACAGTCTCGCTCTCTTACCCAGGCTGGAGTGTAGTGGTGTGACCTTGGCTCACTGCAACCTCCACCTCCCAGGTTCAAGTGATTCTCTTGCCTCAGCCTCCCAAGTAGCTGGGATTACAGGAGCCCACCACAATGCCTGGCTAATTTTTGTATTTTTAGTAGAGATGGGGTCTCACCATGTTGGCCAGGCTGTATGTCTACTTTAAAGACATTGCTCTCTGAGCCCAGTGTCTTCCCCATAGGCCTCCCCTGCAGGCCCTTTCCCAGCCTACCTCCTCTTGCTGTCAGTGTCCACAGAGCTGAACATTACTGCATGGCCAGGTGGATGAGTATGAGGGAAGAACTGCTTATCCTGGCCAGTCCCTGGTCATTTTTCTTAACTGAGAAATAAAACAAGGAGCCATTGTTCAGGCAAAATATTTGGATGTAAGCTTCCACCACTTGTTGTAGCCCTAGTTATTTTATCCATTAAAATCTTTGCGAAAAAAATACATTTTTAAGATCCATAAATGCCAACATCTTCTTTTCTGCCTTAGGGACACAAATCTATATCGAGATCCACAACCAAAATAAGTAGGAATTTAAATTGAATGGGCTTGCACACCTAATGACCCCCCTCAGGGGTAGAAATATTTAATGATAACTTAGTTTGTGGAAAACCCCATCAACCAGGTTCCAAACAGTCTCAGCTGGGAAACCCAAGTCTTTTTGGTTTGGAAATTCTCGATGATAGGTTTTCAAAGCAGCTGATAAAACAGTTAATTATAGTGAGGTGTTTGGCTTCTCTGTAACATACACTTTCAACTGGTCTATGATTGGAGCTTCTTGTCGTGTACTCTGAGCAGGGCCAGCTAATGCTACTGTACTTTTTTTTTTTTCCTTTGGGGGAGAGGCTTCTGAAATTACTACATAAGTAGAACTTCAGATAAAAATGTGACGTCTAGCATGAGAGCATTCAATAGAGCCCCTCCAATCTCTGCTATCGCTTCTCTTTATCTGGTGCATTTCACTTTAGTTATGCTGGCCTTGTACGCGCCTGGCACAAGCTCAGCACAAACCCACTAGACCTTTCCTCTTGCTCAGTAGCTCTCAAATTTTACAGAACACCAGAGCCCTCCAGTGAAGGATTGCTGGGACTTCCAGAGTTTCAGATGGGGCCTGAAAATGTGTATTTCCATCAAGTTCCCAGATTATGTTAATGCTCTTTGTCTGGATGGGGAATCACATTTTGAGAACTATCACTCTAGCTGTTCCTTCTGCCTGAAGCTCCTTCTCCATATATCTGCTTGACTCACTCCTTCACCTCTTTCAAGCCTTTCTTACATGTTACCATCTCAATGAAGCCCAGCTTGACCACCCTATATTGCCACCTAATATCTCAAACTCCTGGCGCTTTGGATCACCCTACCCTACCGTAGTATTTCTTTTCTATTGCACTCATAACCTTCTAACATTCTGTATAATTTATTTATTATGTTTAGTGACAGTCTCACCCACTAGCACATAAGCTCCTCAACCTTTTAATTTGTCCACTAATGTATCCCTAGCACTTAGAGTAGTGCCTGGCACATAGGAGGTGCTCAATGAATATTTTCTGCATGCATGATTCAATGCTTAATGTTCCTGTAAATTACAAGGGGAAAAATTCTAATTTCTTCACAGGCTTCAAAAGAGACTTTTTTTCCTGCCTGTGTTCCTATTTTCATGCTAACCCCTTTATATAAAATGTCTCCTCTCAATCGCTTCTCCTTAAATCTATTTATTCTTTAAGTCAGATCATTCTCTTTTAATTCCTTTCTTCTTCGATGGTAGCTCAGCTGCTTCTGACCATTCTCATTGGTTTCCTGGGTGTCATTTTTGGATCCCTGGTTATAAAGCCTCCAAGCACAGAGATCATGTTCTGAATAAATGGCCAAATAGTAGGATCTGAATAAATGCATGTTGTGTAATTGAACATTCTTTTCATAGTACTATAAAGAGTGTTTCATAAAAGAATAGCTATTATATTCACAAATAAAAATGGACAATTTGCAAGATCATTTCACATTTAATTTTTTCCATCTTCACAAGAACTCTTTAGGCTAGGTAGGAAAGGTATTAAGTTAATGTTATTTCTGGGGAAAGTAAATTTAGGTTAAATATAGATAACAGCCACTTCATCAAGATTAAATGACAAAAGTCATGGAAGTTTCTGGCACAAAGCTGGAACTTAAGATATGTTAGTTTTCCTTCTCTAAGATATCTTAGAAAAGCCTTTTAGATAAATGCATACGTATTGTGTGTGTTCCTACAATGTGCGAAGAGCTTATAACAAATCTTCAAGTCTGCGTCTGAATCTGAAGCTACAATTCTGTGAAGTATTGTTTAGTCTCATTTACTAACAAAGTTAACAGATTCAGAAAAGTTAAGTAACTTGCACGAAGTCACCCTAGCAAATGATGGAGCCAGAATTTGAACTCAGCTCCAAAATCATGATTTTCTTACTTCTGTAGTGCACAATGCCTCCTTGATGGCATGGAACTCATGTCTTTTGATTCACAGTCTGAGGCTCTTCTGTGTACAAAAACCACTAATTGTTATGCTAACCCTGTGCTAATCGCCGGAAAAATATTAATACTGATTCTCTTGATTCTGCTACAGGGCAGTGAGTCAATAGCTCGTGCCAGATATTTTTTCTCCTTTGGCTTTTACATACACAGAATCATAAAAAGTCAGAGCTGAAAAGGACATCCGAAGTCATTGGTCCTACTCTTTTGTCTCAAGAATCAGAAAAAATAAGGTCCAAAAAGTATAAATGACTTGCTTAAAATCAAAGCTAGGGACGGGGGAAACCAAGGTATGTTCTGCTCTCTGTGCAGACGTTATTTTGCAGAGTGCCTTTGTGGCAGCTTTTGCATCAAGCTGGACATCTGGGTTCGGGGTTGCATATAAAGCTGCTGGGCAATGCTGGTGTTGTCAGGTAGCAATGGAAGCCTGGCCTCTTCCTCCTTTGGTGGCTGCAGCTGCTGCTCCTCCAGTCTCCTGTCGTAATCACTTCATAATGGTGCATTGACCTGTATCTGAATCACAGGACAGTTCCTATGCTTGGAGAAATGATGGATAGAAGCAGCGAAGACACACACTTGATGCAGCACCCAGAAGACCGAGCTCAGAGGGACAGAAGGTAGCAAGGGACAGATCAAACACTGGCTGAGAATCTGACCAGCTCCTGTCTTCAGTAAGAGGCTGATGTACTATTGGTCTGTGTAGGATGTAAGATCGCAGGCATGCTCCTTCCATTCGCTAGAAGTGGACAGGGACATGGAATCCTGTCCATTGTGAACCACGGTGCTTAGGGCATTTCTGTTAACCAGGTTACACAACACTGACCGTGCTAGAGGCTGATATTTGACCTAAACTTTGTAGAGACATTGATACAGAGGTAGTGGGGTATCTCTCAGAGCAAGTCTTGGTGTTAGGAACGGGGCAAATGCCTAATTAGCCAAAAATCTGGCCCTTCTGCCTACTCAGGTTTAGAATCCTGGAAAGACTTCTGGCAAATTCCTTGAATGCTTCTCTAACTGATTGTAACTTTAATATTGAGTGTAATCTTGGGAGCAGTTTTAAAAGTAGTACTGGCTTCACCCCCACCATCTCATCAGCACTTCTGTATAACCTTGATCATGTCAATAAAATGGGGTTTAAAAGCAGCTGCTTCTCTTCACTGTAATATATCAATATTTCAGTTTGGAGCCTTGGGGCTTTTCAGACATCACCAGTGCACAGAGTAGAAGTTCAATAAATATTATTAAAATAACTTTGAAAACTACTTCCTCATTTGAAATGAAAGCTGATCCAAAGTATGAACTTTTTTTTTTTTTTTCAGACAGGGTCTCACTCAAAGATTAGAGTGCAGTGGCATGATCTTGGCTCACTACAACCTCTGCCTCCTGGGCTCAAGTGATCCTCCTACCTCAGCCTCCCAGGTAGCTGGAACTATAAGTATGTGCAACCATGCCTAGATCATTTTTGTATGTAGAGACGGGATGGGGTTTCACCATGTTGTCCAGGCTGGTCTCAAACTCCTGAGCTCAAGTGATCTGCCTGCCTTGGCCTTCCAAAGTGCTGAACCTTTTTATTTTTTTAATCCTGTGAAAGGAATATAAATGTTGGGACCCCCAAATCACTAAGCCAAAGGGAAAAGACAAGCTGGGAGCTACTTAGGGCAAACCTGCTTCCCATGCTATTCCTTAAAAAGAGAGTAACTTAGACTTAAAAAAAAGTGAGGTGGGAGGGTCACTTGAGCTCAGGAGGTTGAGGCTGCAGTGAGAAGTACCACTGCACTCCAGCCTGGGCGACAGAGCAAGATCCTGTCTCAAAAAAAAAAAAAAAGTTCATTTCTTGTGCTTACTTATGCAAAACCCTTTGCTCAGTGCTGAGCGTGTAATAGCCATGCATATTTGATGGCTAAATGAATAAATTACAGGCGCAGAGGAAGTAGGCATGATCTATAGCCCTGTTCTTACGGGTGTGTATTCCCTTGCTGTGTTCTCCCTCCCCACCTCAGGAACTCAAACCATTACACACATATTCAATGTACACCCTCTGCCATCCACTCCAGGCCCTGGCACCAGTGAGGGCCACCTGACTACCTTTTCTGTGTGGATTCACCCAGGGGTAGAACGCTGCCAAATAATTACTTTCCAGGAACCATACGACTCTGTTCTGTTTCTGTAATGCAGCCAGAGTGAGGTGCCAACAAGCTATGTGCAAAGATGGATCTCACTCGTTCATGACACTGTATCAGAAAAATCTACCATCGGGCTGTTTGCCCATTCATTAAATTGCCTGGTGAGCATGGAAGGATGGGGAAAGGATCTGCGCAAGCTGTTTATTCACATGTTTAAGTGAATTTTTATTAAACTTTGAAAGGGAATTGTGATTTTTTTTCTTCCCTGAGTTAAAACCATTTTATGAGCACATACAGGAAAATGATGTGATTATGTGATTTCCTTTTTCTGTTGAATTATTTGTACTGCTATTTATTGTTTGGCTGTCTTCATTAAACAACGATCTTCCTGCAAAATAAAAGCTGGATTTTATTTCAGCATGATTGGAGGAAAGAACACTGACCAAAGAATCAGAGAACCTACCCCTTCAGAGCCATTTGAGGTTTAAACATTGATTTTAACCTTCCCAAGCCAAGGTATCTGTTCTGAAACAGGTGATCTCCATGACTGCCCTACCTACGTCCTTCTGAGACATAGTACTCCTGAATGCTCCTTGAAAAACGGTATGAGTGCAATGTAGCATTTTTCCATATGTTAAGAATGCCACCCTTTGTTTCTTTTTAAATAAACTGCAGAGATTGGTAATGACCATTCTATTATGAGAGAGACCAGAAACCAGGTCAAACACACCTAAGAGAGAAGGCAGGCGGGAAAATGGCGATGGGAAGGGACGGAGGCATTAGACTGCCCCCAAGTGGCGACTTGGGCATGATGCCTTGAAAGCAGTGGGAGGGATGACCCCGCTAGGGTGACTGTAATGAAAAAAGGAAACAATCTGAGAAGAGGTCATACTCATTTCTCATAAAAGCATTTAAATACCATTGAAAAAAACATACAATAATAATATATTTCACGCAAATGATGCTCCGAGTCACTGGCTTCCCTTTTAAGGCCTGCCACTTTATATTCAATTCGCTGCTCCGGTGAACACAATGAAGTGTTTAGACTCCATTAAGAAACCTCAAAGAAAACAAACCTTGGGCCTTTAGAGTTAGCAGGAAAGCTCTTTAAATGCTTCTCACAAGCTGTCATTTGTGCATTCAGAAAACCATTAGGACTTCCTCCTTTGGAAATATGTGTGATTCTTTAGCTTCTCATTTGAAACATTAATATTTTCTTACCGTGACCCTTATCCTCGAGAACAATTTCCTATGCTTCACCAGACAATGCAATCAATTTCTGAGATGCTGAGATGTGAACTGGGTTGGTAACAGTAAAACAGCGTATCTGATGGGAGGAAAACTGGAGTTAGGAGTTGGGAAAGTGGGTAGCATATATATCCTGAACACTTAGAAATGCAGTAGATGCACCAGGGCTTTGGGAGAGCCTGTGGCTGAGAAGGGTGCTTGCCAATTGTGATGAAGATATCAGGAGACCAGATGGATTCACAGTGGAAAACATCTCCTCTTCCCTCCTAACTCTGTCAAGAAATGGGACTTGGACAGACACTGGGAGAGGCATCATGAAGTGGCTGGCAGAATCATGCAAACTCAGGGCAGTTTCTTAGATTTGACCCCCAGTTCTGTCTCTAGTTGCATGGGCTGGGAAGTCAGAGTGGTGTCTTCAATAGCCCCGCGAGCAAAATCCCAGGTAATTCCTATCAGATTCCACAATCTGCTATTTAACAAGACTAATAGCCCTCTTTTTACTCAACAAACCTGGTTTGACTAAGTTCATGAATTGGATGTGCCTTCCCAGGTTTAAAAAAAAAAAAAAAAAGAGAGAATCGGCTGGGCTTGGTGGCTCACACCTGTAATCCCGGCACTTTGGGAGGCCAAGGTGGGTGGATCACCTGAGGTCCAGAGTTCAACACCAGCCTGACCAACATGGAGAAACCCCATCTCTACTTAAAAAAATACAAAATTAGCCAGGTGTGGTGGCGCATGCCTGTAATCCCAGCTACTTGGGAGGCTGAGGCAGGGGAATTGCTTGAACCAGGGAGGTGGAGGTTGCAGTGAGCCAAGATTGCACCACTGCACACCAGCCTGGGCAACAGAGCGAGACTCCACCACCCACCCCACCCCCCCCAGAAAAAAAAAAAAAGAATCAAGACTTTAGGCTTCTGGTGGATATGAGAGTCCAGCAGCTAAACATGGGCAATGAATGGAGAAACTGGTGCTTTGGTTAAACTCTGCCCTCCTGCTATTGCTACATGGCATTTCCTTACAGTACAGAGTCAAAAGGGAATTTCGAGGATTGCTTTGTCTCTTGGCTTGTTAGGAGGGCAGCAAATGCGATCCCACAACTATGTGAGGAGGAGGCTCGCTGGTGGGAGTGGTCAGGACTGACAGGAAACCTGAGTTTCCTGCAAATGGACAAAGACATTTGTTAAGTAATATTGAAAAGTAGCTAAGAAATAATATTCCACTTAGTAAGATTGAGGTCACAGTTGCCAACATATTAAGATCAACTATTGTTAATGATTTTGCCTCAATGAAAATGAATTAGAAATCCAGCTCTTTAAGGATAAGCTCTAAATAGGGACTGAGCGATTGGGATTTCGGGTGCCTCATGCTTTAGGCAGCAAAGTCAGTTATTGGGAGAGTGTCGTATCGACTTTGCCTTGAAGCGTTCTGTCTTTGCCTGAATATCAGATCATGGCCTTCTTAGAAAAGTGCTCAGTGACGTTTTATTGATCAGCCTTCAAAAAAGAGCACAGCAGTGGGGAGGAGAGGTAGGGCCAGTCTCCCTCAGTCCTCTGGGCCGGCCGAAGCCCGGACACCTTCACAGGATGATGGAGGCTTTATTCACCTGGGAGAGTCCTTGTGTACCCGACTACAATTCTGAAGATACTCAGTATGATTGCCTGAGACTTCTCCTGGTCAGCTCCTCCCAATATTCTTTTCTCCTCCCTCTCTGACACCCTCCCCTCAACACCTCCCCACTCTGTCACCCCCATATCACTTGCTGGAACACCTATTTCCTTATATTATTTGAAAAAATGTATTATATTGTCAAATAAATCAAACTGTGTTCAGCTGGTGTACTGGAGGTTTAGCAGAAAAAGCCCTTTGTCCCCATACAGAAGGCACTTAGAAAAATCTCGCCCATTATCTTCCAGGTAATTTGTCCTTTAAATACTTTTCTTTCATGGAGAAAATTCCAAGTGACAGTAAAAAGAGAAATAGTTCATTTGGAAGACAAAATATAACAGTATTTTCTTAGGGTATTAAATAATGATCCTCTAATTGCTGAATTTAAATCACACAAAAATGCTAGACATTAAAGTCACCTTTTAAAAAGAAGCTTTGCACATACCTCATTTTCCCCCAAATAGCCACCTCTATAATTCCTTTGTGTGGTAGAAAAACCTGTCATTTACAAAGTGCTTTTGTATACATTTTCTCACTTGGTCATTATGTGTTAAGGCAGGCTAGAGCACAAATCTTAGCTCACTGTAGCTTCAAATTTGTGGGCTCAAGTGATCCTCCCACCTCAGCCTCCCGAGTAGCTGAGACTACAGGTACACACCACCATGCCCAGTTAATTTTTTTATTTTTTGTATTTTTTGTAGAGACGAGGTCTCTCTGTGTTGCCCAGGCTGGTCTCAAATGATCCGCCTGCCTTGGCCTCCCACAGTGCTGGGATTGCAGGCGTGAGGCCCTGTGCCCAGCCACTCATTTTCTTTTCTTTTTTTTTTTTTTAACATGATAATAATGATTTATTAAAGTGAAATGAAAATAATAACATAATTTATTAAAGTTTTAATAAGTGCTACCAGAGCTTTCAATTTCTAGTAAGTGCTACCTGACAGCTATCTGTTTTAGATTTAGAAATTTCCCGTGTAGTGATTGTCACAAGATCTTACCCACTTATCTTTGGTTCACTTTCTATTTTCTCCATGATATTCGCCCCTACCTGGCAATCCCACATCAGGCTCTCCTTTCTTTGAGCTTCTCTGATGCTTGACCACTATTTACCGCTTACCAGAATTTATGTCCAGCCACTCATTTTCTAATGAAGATGATCCGAGAGGTTGGGTGAGTTGGCCAAGGACACTGCAGCTCGGGTTTGCTTGCTCCTAGTTCTGTGCATGTTCACAGTTTCCTGCTGCATTTCATTGCTTAAAACAAAATGGAAAACGGCGTATTACCCTTGGCACTACTTTGTGGCTAAGTTATACTTGGCTTAGCTTTGCACCTAGGCACCCTTTGAAATGTGATTCTGAGCTAGGAAAAAGGCTATTTTAATACATCCAAATGAGGCTTAGTTGAATTTTCCCTCCTATGTGCCTGTGACTAAGAGAACACAATGTCTCGAGTAGTTGTTCCTTTAGTACTCTGGTGTTTGTTTTGCTTTTTATTTTGCTAAAGTCATGAAGTGAGAATTAATTTCCTTTCTAAATACACTGGAAATGTATAGTAACCATTTAGGAAAGCTAGGTTGGTTAAAAAATATTTTAAAAAGATGATAAGTATAGAGAGCTTCGTGTATGTTTTGAGTTAGAGGTAGCTAGTATTCCTCAATACTGGAAAACAAGAGTCTTCCATAGAAAATATCAGAAAAACAAAAAAAAATCTTCCTGCTTCTGTCATGGAGGTGAGACTGGGTCAGCGCTGGGGAACTACCACACAAACCACTGCCGTGAACACAAACCCGGGAACTCAGAGACAGAGGATGGCGCTCATCTGCAACAGCAGTCTAATCCTCAAGAAATGCATGGCTAACACGTGAAACCCCATCTCTACTAAAAATACAAAAAAAAAAAAAATTAGCCAGGCGTGGTGGCACATGCCTGTAGTCCCAGCTACTTGGGAGGCTGAGGCAGGAGAATGGTGTGAACCCAGGAGGCGGAGCTTGCAGTGAGCCGAGATCGCACCACCGCACTCCAGCCTGGGCAACAGAGCGAGACTCCGTCTCAAAATAAAATAAAATAAAATAACAAACAAACAAACAAAAAACACACCCCACAACAACCGCGGATGTGAAATCACCAAGACATTTGTGTAGCTAGCACTCATTAAAGAGGGCAACAGCAGGTGCAGTGGCTCACACCTGTAATCCTAGCACTTTGGGAGGCCGAGGTGGGCAGATCACCTAAGGTCAGGAGTTCGAGAACAGCCTGGCCAACGTGGTAAAACCCTGCCTCTACTAAAAATAGAAAAATTAGCTGGGTGTGGTGGTGTGCACCTGTAATCCCAGCTACTAGGGAGGCTGAGGCAGGAGAATCGCTTGAACCTGGGAGATGGAGGTTGTATAAGCCGAGATCACACCACTGTACTCCAGCCTGGATAACAAAGTGAGATTCCTTCTCAAGAAAAAAAAAAAAAAAAGGACAAAAATGTTTCCTAACAGGATTAGCCTCCTCGTAGAGATATTTCCTGACTCCAAATAGCTCTGAAGTGTTTTAAAATGGGGGAAAGTTTATGACCAATTCTGACAAAGTCAAAATCATAAATGATGCTATGCTTAGTAAATAAGATTTAACCAGGTTATTTTTTAGGTTTTCCAAAGATTAGAGTCCTGAACCACAGCATTAAATCAATGGAGTTTCCAGTAAATGAGGGTGAGAGTTTTGACAGGGTTCAGATTTCACCTTGACCTCCTCGGGGTCACTGAGCACTGGGGTCACTGAGCACTAAATTGAGAGCTGGATCTCTTGCTTTATTCTTGAGGTCTTTAAAAGCAGAAAAAAATAATAACCAGTTATGTGTTCACTATTATGTGGCAGCTGTAAAGAAAGCCAAGTGGATGAGTCATTGTCCCTTGAATACACCATTCACATTCCTGCCCCCGCACCTTTGCTCATGCCGTTCTCCACACCAGACCCTGTATATCCTTCCCCCTCTGGTCTACTGAAGAAGGCTATGCACAAACCTTATCTCTTCTCAGTGAAAGTTTCCTTGTCCTTCCCCAGGTCAAGGCTGCCTCCCCTCTCTGAACTCCCCGAGCCCTCGCTGTCTACCTAACACATTTATAACTTGGCATATCCTCTCCGGAACGGATAATTATTCTTTTCTATCCTATCTTTGGAAACAGGCTGTAAATTCCATCAGTGCAGCTTATCTTTCATCCTTTATTTTTTTTTTAATGTCCCTGATAGCATGCCTCCTACCAAATTGGTTCTCAGAAAAAACCCAATGATTGGTTCATGCCTCCGTGTAACCAACTGCTATCATTGCCATCTCTTGGCACCGAGAGACGGGGCTATATATTAGTTTGGGTTGTTTCTCACCATCCTCTGGGTTAAGGTCTCTGTGGGACTGTGGATTTGTGTAGTGACAGTGTGTAAAACAAGGTCAGGGAGGAGAACCACAGTGTGTACTTTATGACTCCATTTGAATGTCTGCTCCCTTTTATCTGTGGCTGTTATCCCAACCAGCGGCAAGCACATAGTTAAGAATTATGAGAATTCAGTGGGGCTGAAAGTCCTGGCTTAATGGAGGGCCAAGCTCAGGAAGACAATATGGCTTTGGGTTGGGGAGGGGTCCCCCTTCTCTCCCGCACCACTGGAAAAGGCACCTGAGAAATTCAGTGCAGAGTCCACCGTCCTGTGGCCTTATCTATGGGTCTTGATTCACCTGCTTCAAGAGGGGAGGGAGGCAAATGGATCCTAGTTCCTGGCATTAAATGCGGCTCTTTGCTTAGAAGTGCTGACAAAGCAGAGAAAAGGGGAGTGGGGGAAGCAGAGACAGCAGAAAGTTATCTAGAAGAGTAAGTGAGGAGAAACACTTCAGCACAAAGGAGATCAGAGTGAATATGAAACTTATCTCGGGAGAGGGAGGGCCGTTTTTGCAAGGGAGCTCTTGGAGAAGGGATTCAATTGCATGGAAGAAAGTGTTCGGGAGAAATTTTACCTGACTCTACAGAAAGCTTTGCTGAGTTAAGGGGTAAAGTAATAGATTTCAATTCTGATGGCCTAAGGAGTCTGCGAAGACTAGGACTACACAGGGAGACAGCAAGTGTCACAGTGAGGGGCATGGGTGTGGGGTAGAAGGAACTGGATTCAAATCTCAGCGGTGGGTTCCTGGCCAAGTTACCATCTCTGAGACTCAGTTTACTCATCTGTAAAATAGGAATGTCTACCACAGAGTACTGCTGAGAGGATTAAGTGACAGAATCAGACTGTTAGTGCACTCAGTCCCTGGCATGTAATACATGGTAGTTCCATCCATACGGAAGGATATTTCTTGATCTCTTTTTAGGCAATTCTGGCATTGGAGTGCCCTGGGGGTGCCAAGGAGGGACACAGACAGAAAGAAATTCCTCATGGAGGGAATGGCCAATGCATTTCTAGAAACAATCATTTGTGATGTTGTATTTGAAATTATTTCCTACTCCAGGCTATAATAGCTCTGTCTGTTCTCATTAGTTATGACATCTTCAGAAAAATCTGTTTCATGCAACTGCTCTGTGTTAGTGGTGCTCTGCAATGGACAGGAGACAGGCTGTGTCTGCTTTGGCTACCTCCAGACGGGGGAAAGAGCAAGCAGCAAGGATTGAGCAGGAAGCAGGATTCCAGAGCCAGAGGTGATGGATGCATTAAGGGCAACAGTGTTTCCACAACGAACAGCAAAGGCGGGAGGTCTCAGAAGCAAACTGGACTTGGTAACATCCAGGTTACAATCACATTCATAACTGAAACAGGAAGAAGAAATCAGGAAATACCATTTGTTGTTGAATGAATCAACCCAGAGCTGAGAGTTGGTAAGAAGGCTTTCTTAGGCCCTTTGCCTAACGGCAGTTTATCCCTTACAGAGTAAGATAGGTGACTCACCTGGAGTAGCTCTAGCACGTTCTTATTAGTCTGTACCTGTGCAGTTTATGAGGCCAGCATTGCCAAGTGTCAGTTGTTGCTCCATGCACTCATACTTCTCCTGTCTGTGACAGGAGGGTTTCCCCAGGTGACCAGCCTCAGGTCTAAGCAAGGAGGCAAATTAATAATAGCACAACAATAATTTGGCTCCAAATGAGGAAGGATTTCTAGGATGGCTCACAACTGCTGTTGTGTTTGTCCAGGGCAACAGTGACCCTTCCTTGACTGGCTGCTCCAGCACCTACCAGTGAAACAATTCACAAAGCTCCTCAGATGACGAACCAGCCACTGTGGCCACTACCCTCATGATTGACTTCCCTCTAGGGCAGTGCCCTTGCACATACGTGCTTCCTTTGCCTGGTTCTGGGGACAGGGCCCACCCTCATATACAAGCAGGAGCAGGGCCTTGCTATTCTCAGGCCCTCACCTTATCCTGTGGCACTGTTGAGTCTCCCTACTCTGCCTGTGATGTCTTCTGGAAGGTAAGCAGCTCTGCTAAGGGCAGGAGTGAACTCCTGTCACTCATTCTTTCCTACCTCTTTCAGTGAACCCAGTCCACCCTCACATGTGGCTTGAAAGCCTTTGCAGGCCTGTGTCCTAAGTCTTTAGAATCCCTCCAGACCCTCTCCCACTTGCTCACTCTGTTACTCATTAGTCATTCTCAGCTTTCCCATCAGTGACCTCTGCTTTCCTACTCATCCTCCTCCCTACTTCTGATTCCACATGTCAGCTTCTGTCCTTCATATTAGGAACTCATTTCTCTGGCTCAAACTCCAGCACCTGTTTGGACAGAGTCCCAGCTTTCCTCCACCTCAAACACTTAGGGGTGGACTAAAGCCTTTAAAACATCTAAGCGATGAAATATGTAAACTATACATTTTACATTATAAATTATAAAATAAATATAAACCCCAACAAATTAAATGATGACCCTTTAAATGCTTTCTTAACTGTCAAAAGCTCCTCCAGCTCAAATATTTTGGAGGCCTGATTTGCTGATACCAAAAGCCCACGCTTACCCTGTCCACTGGTGATGGATGCGTGTTCCTCTCTAGCCCGGTGCTCAGCTGACCAAAGGCACCTGTAAGGACTGACCAGCTGGGCTGCCCTGTTCAGTCCAGCTTGTGGGCTCACCACATACCTTGCTTCTAGCTCATTCCCCCAGCAAAGCCACCTCTTCTCTCCCTTCCCATCCACCCAAGACAGGGTGACAATGCGTATATCTGTTTTGTCTCTTCAATGCATTCTCATTGACTTGATTGCTACTCATTGGTGTAGGGACAAAGATGACTAAAACACCTGGTGGC